GGGGCTGAGATCATGATCTGAGCCAAAATCAAGAGTCCAATGCTCAACCAGCTGAGCCACCAGGCGCCCCTTGGGCACTTTCTATGTGAAGATGCTGTTTTAGGTGCTGGTAGACGGTGGGACAGTATTGTAGGAAGGCAAGCTTTGCAGTGATCTGAGCAACACAAAGTCCTCATACAGCAAGTCAGAGGTCCATTCCAAGATGCAGTTTAACTTCATCTACATTAAATTAATGCTGTTGAGTTGAATTTAGTGTTTTCCCCCAGTTTTGTTTATGTTTGTTATGTAAGTTTGAAAAAAATATTTGTACAGAAGCAGTCAGAAAAGAGGGTTCCTATCTGATTTTGTGTTTGTTCATATTTAAATAAGGTTATAACGGAAAGAATAGACCTTTGGGCTTTCCCTCCCCTCCTACCTCCCACATGAACTCTTCAGCAGTTTCAAGTCTCTCCACTAACAACACAGGGGCACAGACGCACATGGCAGGCGCACACATACATGTTAACAGCATGCGCACATGTACACAGTATGCACATGCCCACACACAGCACTCGTGAGCACACACACGCGCAAACATGCACACAGCATGCATTCACACCTGCATAAGCACACACACTCCAAAGACCGCGCTGAGGTTTCCAGGGTCCCAGGACTGGCGGGGGGGGGGGGGGGGGGAGACTGGCAGGGGATCTTCTCGCTGTCCCAGAGGTTTAGAAGTCGCCCAGGGAGGGATTCCAGAGAGATCCCTCCTGCACTGGCGGCTGAGACACCTCCCCCTCCCCCCTCCGCCCCTAGAAGCTCCTCCGGCTGCTGGCAGATGCCCTCTCCCCCGCATGCCCTCTCCTCACCCTCGCTGCTCTGCTCTGGCACTTGCCCCAGACCCCTCTGGAGCAGTGCACTCTGAGCCGGGACCCCCAAGTCACCAACCCCATCTGCCTTCGTCCTGTGCCTTTCAAAAGCTTGTACTGTTACCAGCTGCCCCCCCGGCCACCCTGGCAGAGAAGTCCGAGTTGATGGAAGGAGCCTGGGCCACCAGGAGCACTCCCTTCTGGCTGGGGGGTCCGTGCTGGGGGGCCGGAGAGCCGGCCCAGGCCGCGGGTGCAGGCTGGGTCCACGGAGATTAAAGACACCGCCTGGGGAAGCAGGGAAGATTTATTCTTTATAACTCCAGAGGGCAGAAGTAGAACCTGTGGGTGGAAGTTTTAGGGACCCAGATATTTGGCTAAAAACGAAAACAAAAAACTAACAAAACCCTCCACAACTAGAATAAGCTGCCATTGTGAGGGATGTGAGCCCTCAGAGTGTTCATACCAAGGGTGAGGACAGAGCACGAGCATCCTGGGTGCGGTGGGAGGGTCTCTGCACACACGCATGACATCGTGTCATCTGTGACTCATGTTGAGGCCACTGGTTGGCCCTCAGGAGCTGTCCTCCTAAGCCAAGTGCTCTCATCTGGGCACAATTCATCCCTTGGGGAGAGAGGCAATCTCTTCTAAAGCGAAGTGCCATTTGGAGTGGTAAATCACCCTTAGGTGACTTAGGTACAGGAACAAGTGGAAGCAACATCCCTTTAGGTTTCATGTTGTTTGTTTGAAGACTAACTCTGTATCAGTAAGGCTGCTGTTGGCAGGCTTGAATGCCATCCCACCTCAGTTGTCCCCTCATTGATTTCCTGTGGATCATGTCCAGGTAGACAAGGAGAGTGTGGGGCACAGCATTTGTGACCAAGGTAGTGATTTCAAGGATAGTTTTTCTGCGTGTACAACCACCCCCCCTCCAGCCTCCCCCGGGAGGGAGTGCCCAGTCCGTAGTCTGGTCTTTGCTCTGCTAAGGAAGTACTAGAAGAAGAGGCTGGGTTCACTTAGAAAAGATGGGAGTGCTTTTAGGAAGGGTCAGATCCTGAATCCTGGATCCTAGATCCTGGAGTCAGAAGACCTGGGGAGCTGAGACGTGCATGGACCTGTACTCCCCCTCCTGGTGGAGCCGAGAAGCCAGCACACCTTGCAGCTGTCCTTGCCTGGCACAGACCAGGAGCCTCAACACCACAGTTGTATGGGTGGGGGGCCCTCATGTCTGGCCGGGCCAGGGAGGACCTGTTTCTGAGCAGGAGGGGCCGGGGAGATTCAGCATGACCTTCACAGGCTGAGCTCCAAAGACTGCAGCCAGTGGGCACCTTGTGGGGAAGCCTGGGTGGGACACAACCCAGTATGGTGCCTTGACATATTACCCCCGAGAGCATCTGGCGCTCCTTGGGTGTGAGGTTGGGGGGGGGGGGTGACCACTCAGTGGAACAGAGGCTTGATGTAAGAAGCGGTGAATTGACAATCAGATATAAAAATCCACACTTCTGGAGCACCTGGGTGGCTCAGTCAGTTAAGCGTCCGACTTTTGATTTTGGCTCAGGTCATGATGTCATGGTTCATGGGTTCGAGTCCCGAGTCAGGCTCTGTGCTAACAGTGGGGAGCCTGCTTGGAATCTCTCCCTGTCTCTCTCTCGGGCCCTCCCTCTCTCTCTCAAAAATAAATAAACATTAAAAAAATAAAAAATAAATAAAAATCCACATGCATTTGAATGGTGTGTATGGTTTATCTCCCCAGTTTGCCACCCCACAAAGTTGAGGGGAGAAAGGTCCCCTCCTTGTCCACTCATCTGTGGCCTGGGATTTAAACCTGCTCAAAGAGTTTGGGGCCCGTTGTGCCACTGGGTGGCTATCAGTGGCACATTTCGACCTTGACCCCTCTCTGAGATCGGGGAAGGAGCCCCCTCGGAACTGTGCTTTTCTCGGGGAGGACCCCCAGGACAAGCCAGGTGTTTGCAATTGTTCATGTGAGGGTGGTTCCAGCTCCCTTGTAGGTACTGAGATAGTTGTAACAGGGAACTGGAGTCCTCACAGAGGAAGGAGAGGGATGTTCCCCCCAGTTTTCTTCACATACGATTTATTTATCACAGAGTAGTTGGGAGCCTGAGACAGGAGACTCTGCTGAGTGAGAACAGCACCCCTCAGACTTGGGGGCAGGTCACTGTCTGTGGGCCACGAGCACTCCAGGCGTGGCTTCCCGGAGAAAGGCCACATTCTCCTAGGTCTGGGCTCTGAAGGAGAGCAACCCCGTGTCCCCAGGTGGGCAAGGCGTAGGGCCAGGCTGTGGCTCTCTCTGTGAGGGGGGCAGCTCTGGAGAGTAGTCGTGCACACCTTTGCTGTGTAGGAAGAAATGCATATAGTTGTCATGCTGTGAGGAGGAAGAGAACTTTCCTTGGAGGAATTGGATTCTGGTTTTAAGATCCTTGTCTGACAAAGCCTATAGCAGGGTCGCTGACTTGGGGTCCAGGGGCCAGCAGGCGACAGACACCTTCTCCAGGGCTGGGCAGAAGAGTAGGAACATGGTGAATCAGAAAGTTCCAGGCTGATGAGAGGCGCTCTGTTAACATTTTTTTTTAATTATTTTTTTAGGTTTATTTATTTATTTGAGAGAGAGAGAGAGAGAACACAAGTGATGAACAATCAGGGGCGGGGGGGGGGGGGGGGGGGGGGCGGAGAGAGAGAATCCCAAGCAGACTCCACACCACCAGCACAGAGCCTGATGCGGGGCCCGAACCCACGAACCGTGAGATCATGACCTGAGCCAAAGCCGGACCCCCAACTGACTGAACCACCCAGGCGCCCCTGTTAACATTTTTTTAAACCTGTGCCAAGAAAGACCTGTCTGGGAGTATGGACTTCCTGGCCCACCTCATTTAAAAATTTTTAAAACATTTTTTGTATTTTTTTTAATGTTTATTTATTTTTGAAGGAGAGAGACAGACCATGAGCAGGGAAGGGGCAGAGAGAGAGGGAGACACAGAATCCAAAGCAGGCTCCAGGCTCTGAGCTGTCAGCACAGAGCCCGATGCGAGGCTCAAACTCACGAGCTGTGAGATCATGACCTGAGCCGAAGTCGGACACTCGACTGATGGAGCCACCCAAGTGCCCCTGGCCCACCTCATTTTAATCCTAATTTTACAGATAAAGAGTCTTATGACAGGGAAGTCTGTTCACAGCAGGATGATTCTAACTGGGGTCCATCTCTGGCAGTGAGGTAATGGCTTTGGGAATATTTCATGCTAATGCTCTCAGTCCATGCCAAGCCTGTCCTCTGTCCCCTGCTCATCTGGTTACCCAGTGGAGATGCCAGGATGTGTGGGGACGTGGAGCTGTGACTGAGACGGGGGGCACACGAATACACATTGGGGTACACACAGACATGGGAGGTCATGAACTCTGAGCTCATAGGGATGATTTCCTGTTTTCTGAACTGTGCTTCTAGAAGTCAGTAAATTGAGTGTACATGGAAAGACCCTGAGCCCTTGAAAGGGACACAGGCCACTGGAGCAGATTCAGCTCTTGACTTAGCTTTTGGTGACATCCCAAACCCAGCAGCAATGTCTCTGACCAGCAGCACAGCCGTTCCTGCTGACCATGGGGACCACACCTTTCTCCCAGCTAGCGGACGAAATGTGGGCTGTGCAAACACTAAGATTAGAACAAGAAAGTGTCAGTTTGGAGTGCGTGTTGCTTAATTCAAACCAGAGACCAGAGGGAGCTGCACCTGTTGGGACCCTGCCCAGACAGGAAGCAGGTTTTTATTCTGCTGGTTCTCTCCCATCAAAAGCCTCACGAAGGGCCCCAGAAGCCTTTGATGTTTGCAAAATCAGCTTTTGCCTCTCTTCACAGGCCTTGTGCATTGGAGCCTAGAGGCCCCGGGAGCCTTCCCCAAGAGCCCATCCCGGGCCATCCCCGGAAAGCACCACACAGGGTAAGAGGAAGAGAACACCCAAACCCTAAGTAGTCCTTCTGAGTGAATCCTCCTTTTGATGGTGGGATGGCACTTCCTCGTCGTCCTTTTGCTTAATTCCCCTCCCTGCAAAACAGGCCAGGGTTTCCTGTGGAGCCGGTGAGGACAAGGGCACGCCGCCCGAGTGAGGGCGCCAGCTGAGTCAACAGGGTCAGGCACTTCAGTGAAAATTCCTTTTTTGGAAGCCAGGCGGTGGCTTTCCAGGACTGCAGAATCCTTGGGAAGTGACGCAAGCCCTCAGTCAGGGAGAGGCCCCGCGCTCCGCTCCTCCTCGCTCCTCCTCGGAAGGTGCTGGAAAGACTGGGCTGGACGAGCCAGCGAGATGTGAGCAGTTTGTGGGGCCCTCTCCTTCCTCCTGGAGCATCTGCACAGCCCCAGCCCCAACCCGCGGAGGGCAGGGCTTTCGGCAGAGACCTCCTTATATAGGAAACGCTCTACTGAGGAGGCTTCTAGGGACTGCACAGGCACTGCCTCTCAGCCTTCTCTGTGGAACTCTCTCTACAGCAGCAGCGTCCTATTCTAGAAGGCGACAGAAACGGCAGGGGGAAGGGGGGCTAAAATGGCTATATTGTCACAATGCTAGAGGCAGAGGCTGTGTTTTGAGGAATGCTGTGTGGCTCTTTTACTCTTGCCTCATGGGGCCAGGGAAAGCCTCTCTCAGCAGGCAGCTTGGACCAGTGAGCGCCCAGGACGGAGCAAAGCTGACCTCTGGGACTGCAGCAGGGGCTGTGGCTTGCGTGTGAAGGGAGGGAAGGCCGAGCCCCCCCCACCCCCCCAGAAGGCCTGGGCAGTGGGTAGGAGGCCCACGGATGGTGTGGGGCCCTCTCCGCTGCAGTGACTTTTCACTGTGCCTGAATGGTCAGCCAGGAGAGGAGAGAGGCCTCCGTGCTAACATTTCCTAAAAGGAAATTCACAAATCTGAGTAGGAGCACATTTGTCTCCTGGAGTCTTAGGAGACAAATCGTGCTGTCCCTTATTCTAGTGGAAGCTCCCCCGTTTCCTTCGGGGGGGGGCACACTGTCCTCACCCCATCTGTGTGGCTGGGACTGATCCTTCCTTGTCTGCAGGACCAGGTCCGTGGCCCTGTGTGGCACACCCTCTCCCCAGGATGCAACCCCAGGACTTCCTGCTGTGGGGCTGGCATCTCACTTTCATATGAGGAGGGCCGGCCTGGAGATGATACCAACCCAGAGGAAAGCAGGACCAAGAGATGGAAAGACAGGGGAGCCTGAGGTTGCTCAGTCGGTTAAGTGTCCCGACCGGCCTCAGGTCATGATCTCATAGTTCATGGGTTCCAGCCCCACATTGGGCTCTGTGCTGACAGCT